AGGGGTGGTGAAGTGGCTGAAGCAGAGACAGGGGGGGCAGTTGTAGGTGAGACCCGAAGAGGGGACTCTGCAGGTGGTAATGCAGGCATGGCCACGGATGCCATGGAGGAACACGCCGAGACCAAGGGCGACACAACAGATGCGGTGGTCACGGATGCCATGGAGGAACACGCTGAGACCAAGGGCGACACAACGCCTGTGGTGGCCACGGATGCCATGGAGGAACACACCGAGACCAAGGGCAACACAGCTGGTGCGGGTTGAGTTGCTCCCGCTGAATCAATCGTAGAAGCAACCAAGGCCGATAAGGAAGAGGCTGCGAACCGAAAAGGGGCAGCCAGGGTCACAAACAACATGGAAGGGGTTACTAAGACTGATGAGGACGCAGGTGCGGCAAACGCAAGTTATGAAGAAGAGGCTGTGATAGGTGTGACATGCGCCGATAATGAGGAAGGGGCTGTGACAGGCGTAGTCCGAGGAGAGTGTGTAGATACCCGAGAAAACTGGTGATGAATAGACCATCGAAGCATTTTGCGGAACCAGCTGGAGAGGCGGGTCACATGCGCAGGGTACCTGTATTGACGTTTTCGAATATAGGAAGTCGATCCTTTCGCAAGTGTTGTTGGAGAGTGCCCGCGAAAAAGCATGMGGCGTGTGAGCATCGCTGCTGCAGTTTTGAAATCATACAAGTTGTTGCAGACATACTCAAACCTAGTAAGCTGGCCTGTAAACACTCCCGCCGGCTGGTGTGCAGGGACGTTAGATGTAGCACTAGGATAACTAATCACAGGGAAATTTCATTCAGCTGCTTTGTCAAAGACACTCATACGCTGTGGTCTCCTTCCATTTGAGGCCATAGTGCTCTGACGGTGGTGGCAGATGTCCCCATGAGAGAACATCATCGATCAAGCGGTATGTGAACGCATACCGTTGAGCTGTGCAAAGATCACGCCGCTGGAGGTCATCAACAAATCGAGCTCCATCCCAATACAACGTCAAATTAGCTATCTCCGGACCAGAATTAGTCCCCATCGGGATGCCAATCAACTGATGTCGCAAGGTGCCGTCCGCTGCATAAAGATAAGTGTTTGTGACAATGAAATTGAGATGTTCATGAATTAGGGAAACGGTCAAGGTGTTTGGTCCGGTATCAACCGTCCACTCCCCTTGACGGGGCCCTTTAACAATCATGTTAAGGGTAGGAGAATATGTAAACCAGGGGAAATAAAGGCGGTGAAGATAAGGGGGATGAAGTCAGGGGTGGTGAAGTGGCTGAAGCAGAGACAGGGGGGGCAGTTGTAGGTGAGACCCGAAGAGGGGACTCTGCAGGTGGTAATGCGGGCATGGCCACGGATGCCATGGAGGAACACACCAAGACCAAGGGCGACACAACAGATGCGGTGGTCACGGATGCCATGGAGGAACACGCCGAGACCAAGGGCAACACAACAGCTGCGGTGGCCACGGATGCCATGGAGGAACACACCGAGACCAAGGGCGACATAGTAGGTGTGTGTCGAGTTGCTCCCGCGGAATCAATCGTAGAAGCAACAAGGCCGATAAGGAAGAGGCTGCGAACTGAAAAGGGGCAGCCAGCGTCACAAACGGCATGGAAGGGGTTTTCGTCACAGCAGAAACCAAGACGGCTTGCATCGACCATACCTCTGAAGCATGCACGACAGAGGGCATGCCGGTTGCAGGCCATGACCATTGTGGGGCGTTCACCATCACAGTTCAGTGCACATTCGCTATAGCGCCCGTAGGCACAGATGAGACATACTGCATCTGGATGCAGAGGATGTTCACAATCCGGATACAGGTGGCATCCTTGCCGACAGCGGGCCTGAAAAATTATATGGTTGGAGTGATGTCGACAAAGTCGATGCTTTCCACAACCAAGTGTAAATGTGTCAGTGATCTCACAAAGACGGAGGTCACAAGGTGTTAGTGCAACATTCGGGGGAATGAAGACTAAAGCAGGCACGGTGACAGACATGGATGTAGGCACGGAGACAGACACAGAAACGGGCATGGAGACAGGTGTGGAGGCAGGCACAAAGACAGGTGCAGAGGCGGGGACGGAAGTACACAAGGTACCTATAGGGTCAGTAATCTGGAAAGAGACAGACATAGAAACAGGCACAGAGACAGGTACGGAGGCAGGCACAAAGATAGGCGTAGAGGCGGGCATGCAAGTACACGAGGTACCCATAGGGTCAATGACCTGGAGCAGTTGCAGGTTCGGGTAATTACGCACGAGATCACAGATGGCAGTAATAGCTTGCATCATAGCACCGCCATTCCATAATTCCCAAGAACTTGAGGCACGGACAAGAGCGGTGTAGTGGCCCGAACGGCCGAACGCCTTCCGAAGGGGTCCTGTAAGTTCGGACCTTCAGGTTCGGGCGTTTGCCCCGTCCCGAACGCCGGTGACCATGTATATAAATATATATATATATATATATATATATATATATATATATATATATATATCGTCAAATAGAACTGCCCGGTAAACCGTAGGCAGAGAGGGAGAAGAGGACAACAAACGAGGGGTTGTGACTATATATATATACGTATTTTTACTATTTTTAGGAGTAAAAAAAAAAAAATTAGAAACCAGGCCGTGGATGCAGCCGACTGTTTCAGCCGCTGCGGCCGAATTGCCCGCGCCCTAGGCCGCGGGTGTCACGTAGCCGCAAAGTGTTGCATTCCTAAAATGAGAAATCTAAATATTTTATTGACTTTGTTTTTTTTTGTTTTTTTTTTTACCGGTTCTATGGGTCAGATAGGCTTTGGCGGCCGACTGTTCATAACAAGTCTTGAGGAGACCCGCCTCTCACATATGGAAGGGATGCAAGACACCACTCATCATTTGATAAAACCAAGAAGGATCTATATCCTTAACACTCTTTATTTGAGAAGCGGGTCCCACGTAACGCTCCCGCTAGATCCCGCGTTCCGCTGTCGTGAAACGCGGCGGGACCGGTAGGCAACCGACAAACAAGGCACGAGGCTCTCGGGGCGAGTCGGCCGGGCGAGGCGTGGGTTGGACCCGTGTTTGCAACGGCCGTCGTGGCAGCATACGGGGGTGTCGGTTCGCGGAGTAGGTGCCTAGGGGTGCATCTGCCGAGAAAAGACGGTCGGTTCCTTTTTTTTTTTGGTCGTTTGTGTTTGTGCGAGAGCGTGTCGCGAGGTCGCGGGTGATGTGAGCGGAGCGGGACACGGCGGGCGCAGAGTGATGTGAGCGGAGCGGGACGCAGCGGGCGTGGAGTCGGGCATGCTGTAAGCGGAACGGGCTGCCCGTGGGTTTCATGCATCTGGCGAATCCGTTCGTGTTGATGGCGGTGCGCACAAGGTCGCGGGTGATGTGTGTGTGTGTGTGTGTGTGTGTGTGTGTGTGTGTGTGTGTGTGTGTGTGTGTGTG